GGCTCAGTGGTTGAGCGTTGACCCAGGCACCAAGAGGACACTGGTTTGATTCCAGGTCAGGGCACATACCTGGGTTCGAGGTCGTGCAGGAGGTTCGATGTTTCTCTCTCATTGATGTTTCTCTTGCTCCATTCCTCTCTCTAGAACAGAAATAAAAATAGCCCTGGCCGGTTTGGCTCAGCAGTTGGAGTGTCGGCCTGTGGTTCGGTTCCCGCTAAGGGCACGGACCTCGGTTGCGGTTTGTCCCTGGCCCGGTTGGGTCCTGTGGGAGGCAGCCACTCGATGTGTCCCTTTCATGTCGATGTTTGTCTCTCTCTCTACTTCTCTCTCCTTCCTACTCTATCTGAACAAAAACTGGAAAAATGTCCTTGGGTGAAGACAAAAAAAGAAAGAAAGAAAGAAAAATAAACAAAGATGTTCAACATCACCAGTCATTAGGGGAGCGCCAATCAAAACAGCAATGAGATGCCACCTTACACCCTTAGGATGGCTGCCATAAACCAGACAGAAGTGCAAGGAGCTGGTGAGGGCGTGGAGGGGCTGGAGCCTCTGTGCACGCCGGTGGGCGTGTGGGATGAGGCCGCCGTATGCAAAGCGGTGCGGCAGCCCCTCAGAAAGTGAAAGACAGAGCGGCCCACGCCCAGCAACAGCACGCTGGTATACACTCGGAAGAGTCTCGGAAAGCAGAGTCTCGGAAAAAATGTTTGTGAGCCGTGTTCACGACAGGACCACTCACAATAGCCAAAGTAAAAGTAACGCAAGTGTCCGCTGAGGGATGAATGGGCAGACAGAATGTGGGGTGTACATACAAAGTGGAATTGGTTCGGCCTTCAGAAGGAAGGGACTGTTGACGTGCAGTCACGTGGGTGAGCCCTGGGAAAGTCGTGCGAGGGGAAATAAGCCGATTACAAAACGACAAATCCCGTGTGGTCCCACTTCTGTGAGGTCTCTGAACAGTCAGGCTGTGGGGACAGAAGCAGGATGGTGGTGGCCGGGGGCTGGAGAAGGGGCCTCGGGGAGTTACTTAATGGGTCCAGAGTTTCAATTTTGCAAAGTGAAAAAAGTCTAGAGATTAGTTAAATAACAAGGTGAATATTTAACACTACTTAACTGTACACTTCAACATAGTTAAGATGCTAAAGTTTATGTCATGTGTATTTTACCACAACTAAAAATTTAAGTTTGAAGAGAAACAGAATTTGCATAGTCTCCAAGTATCTCTCCTTAGATGTTTATTAAGTATAAGAGAAAAACAGTCACTTTACTATAGTAAGTTTATTAATTGTAAGAGAACAATAGTAACTGGCAGAGACCACCTTGACCCAGTGACTCAGCGGTTAGAGCCGGCGCTCCAGCCGCTGAGCCAAGCTGGCTCAGTTCCAAGCAGGAGAAGCGAGACCGCGAGACCGCATAGAATGAAGCCACTGCCCATTGTCCCAGGCCTGGAGGTCTGGCTGGCTCAGCTGTATTCTCCACGTGCAGAAAACCCACACCCACTGTCCACGGGCTGCCCCTCGCCCGGGGAACCTCCTCTCTGGAGCTGCGTGGCCCAGGCTCCCTCAGCCACAGCCACGGGTTCAGCCCATGGGGGATGAGGAGCTGCTCCAGGGGGAGAGGAGAGGTAGGTACACCTGCTCCCCTTGCTGGACCCGAGTGGCAGTGGTCGTGTCCCCCCACCGATCGCTGCAGTCCCTGTCCAATGACCCTCTCCCATAGGCACAGCTGTCTTCAGGGTCTGTGCAGCCCCTCCCCTGCCCCTCCAGGTCCAGGGACATCACAACCCCCACTACAGCTGGTCTCTGGGCCCCTCGACACCCTACATCAGATCCCTTTGTCCACACCTGGGCAAACAGTCCCTGTCCTCAGATACACCTTGATGCGCCCTCTGATTTCCCCAGGAACCGGACCGACACCCATGGGCGTGTGGGTGCTGACCGGCTGGGGAAGCCCTTTTTTGCTGACTGTCACACCAAGTCCCCAGGAGTCGGTCCGGCTCCCCGGAGGCGGAGAGGGTCCGTGTGTGCCGGAGATGTGGGCTCGTGATGTACTGTGAGCTCAAACCCACGAGGCAGAAGCGGGAGAAGCATCAGCAGGATGGACAGTCGTGAAGCTCGGGACATTCATGGCACCTCCGGGTCGAACCCACGAGAAGCCGCCATGCTTCAGACGCAAGGCAGCCCTAAGCCCTTAAGCACTTCACACAAACAGCTGTTTCCGGAACCGGTCATTGCTAAGTCGGCGAATTGCTATTTGGAAAATGGTCTCTCCTTGACTTGATGATGCAGGCCAAGGGGTTGTTGTGCAAATTCCACTCGGAGAATTAGTTGGCTCCTGTCAGGGCCTGATTCTCCCTGCCCCACGGGCTGGACTTGACCTTCTGACTCAGGACTGGCTGGGCCTGGGTTCACGGGCTGCCTCACTGGGGCCCAGCCCGGGCCAGGCCTTTTCCAAGACGGGGTGGTGCCCACCTGAGTCATTCTCCATGTCATCCAGGCGGGCAGTGTTTTTATTTTTAATTTTCAATTTTATTTTTCAGTGACCTTACATGCAATGTTACTTTGTATTAGTGTTAGGTGTGCGGGCAGGTCACGTTATTCCTTGTGGGAGCTGCCAAGCATCCAGCCCCGGGTGGGAGAGTCTTGCCTGTTTCCGGTTCTCTAGCGAAAGGAGCCCACCCTTGGGGAGCCGTGGCTGGGCAGAGAGGACAGGTGGCTGGTCGCGTGGGAGCTGGAAGGCCACGTGGGCTGGGACCGGCGTCTGGTCCCCGGCAGCGCAGCCTGTCGAGGCCTCTGGCTGTCTCCCTCTTGGGGCTTGGGGTCTGTGTTTGGACGCAGCCTAGCCCGGGGATCTGCCGCGGTGCGCGGTGACTGGAGTCGGGTGCTCACGGGAACGGAGCAGCAGGGTCGCCCCCAGGCGGGCGAGGGGAGCGGCGGTGCCCTGTAAGCCGTCGTGGGGCCGCTCTGGGCCGGCACTGCGGTCAGAGTTCTGCTGGGTGGCCAGTCCTGACGCGGGCCTGGCGAGGAGCTGAGCTCCCGCGGAGAGGGCCCTGTGGGGAGCATCTCGGGGTGGGGCTGGTGGGAACGGGTCACCCTGCAGCAGACGGGCACCTGCGGGGGAGGGGGCACAACCTCAGAGGAGAGAGGACGGGTCACCCTGCAGCAGACGGGCACCTGCGGGGGGGGGGGGCACAACCTCAGAGAAGAGAGGACGGGTCACCCTGCAGCAGACGGGCACCTGCGGGGGGGCGGGGGCACAACCTCAGAGGAGAGAGGAGAGGGGCTGTGCTGGGCCCGGGGCGCGCCGGGGGTCTCTCAGCCCAGCGCCCACCAGCCGTGTCCCATAGGTCCCCACCCTTGCGGCGGCGCCCTGAGCAGGACACCCTGGTATTTCGCTGTAACTCGGCGGGAACAGGCATCAGAACCGCTTGCACCCCACGGCCCCTGAGTCCAGGGTCATCGCGCCCAGGGTGGGCCACGGAGGTTACAGCCGGGATAGGAGGAGCAGAGTGTATTCTTGGGTTAGTATTGATTAACAACTGTATTATCTTCCGCAGGAACACCCAGAACCCCACTTTGCCCCACCCTGTCTGTAAGACTTGCAAGAGGAGTAGTCTCATATTCTTTGTCTTAAGGAGACCTCTCCAAATTGTCAACCACTCCTGCCAGATGCGGATGGCACACCTGTGCCCACTGCCCACCCAGGGAGGCTGACCACCACCGGGGCCTCCCAATGCCACTCAGGAGTGTGGGAGGGCCTCGCCCTGCAGGGCCCAGGCTGTGAAGGCCTGGGGTCAGCTCTGAGGGATGCGGGCCGTCACAGGGGATCCTGCCCAGGCCGGACCCGCATGAACAGGGACTGGAAGGACCCTCCTTCCCTCCATGACTCCGCCCGGTGGAGTCAAATCCCTCAGCGCCCTGGCAGCCCCTCCCCTCAGCACTCCTTGGCCACCCACTGGCTGGTCAGGGCTCACTACCGATGGCACAGCGGTGACGAGGGCAAGGGGCAGCAGTGGCCACGAGCATGCGTGATCCCAACAACAACCACCAGTGAGTGGCCAGAAGGGCAGGGCTGTCCTCATTCCGTAGATGAGGAAACTGAGGCTCAGGATGAGCTATTGACTAAGAGGAGCGGCACGTGGCACGGGCTTGGGCATCTCTCTGCCGAGCGTGACTGGGGAGGCACCAGAGGCCGCGGGTCAGCTTCCTGGTTCTGGCCGGGGACACGAGCACCGCCCAGGGGGTGGTGGAGTCCTCCTTGTACCCTGTAGGCCTCCCGGGGGCACTGCTGACCTCACAGGGCCTCCCAAGAGACAGGCCCCAAGGGGCAGGGAGGGCCAGGTCCCCTCAGGTGCTGGCTGCCCGGCGCTGGGCCACTCACATTCTCCCGTGAGCGTGAACAAACCCTTCGGCGTGTCCTCCTCTGCCTTGCTGGCACCCCCGGACCCCACCTGCCCTCAGAGGAGGAGGTTTGGGGAATGGGGAAGGCAGTGGTCTCCACGCCACCTGTGTTTTTGGCCTAAGGGATCACACCGGTCCATAGGCCCACAGGATCCCCAAAGCTCTGGCAGGCCACCGTGGGGACCCTGGACAGCAGGCTGAAGTCTTTGGCCCTGTCTGGCCACACACCTATGTCCAGGCTGTGGCGATCTTGAAGCTGGGGGGCAGGCAGGGTGCCGTCCCCAACTGTCTCTTATTCCACAGGGCACTCGGCCTCTGCCTTGGGGGGCAGTGTGTCCCAGAACTGGCCTTTTTGTCCTGTTTTGGTCCTGTCCCTGTCCCTGCCCCTCACAGGGTCCCAGAGCATAGGGGATGGGGACCTCGCGCCGCCAGAGGGGCAGCGCCACAGCCGGGGTGCTAGGGTGGCCCCACCCAGCCTTTCCTCCCGCCAACGCCTCGCTGACTCACAGATGACCTCCTCCTCTGCGGGGTGAGGGCAGCGCCCCAGAGCCCCGCCAGCCACCGGAGGCAGCTATAAAAGCACGCTGGCCCGGGCCCCGCATCCTGCTCCGTCCTCACCTGTCACCTGTCTGTCTGCACGATGCTGGGAGGCCTGGGGAAGCTGGCTGCTGAGGGCCTGGCCCACCGGACCGAGAAGGCCACCGAGGAAGCTGGTGAGGACCTGAGGCTCCTTTCCCCCGGCCGTTGTCCTCGGGCTGGGGGTTGGGGACCCCCTGACTGGGCCTGTCGGAAGTGGATCCCGCAGGTTCGGGGCAGGCCTGGGCCCAGGAGGGGCTCCGGGCAATCAGCACCACAAGGACAGGGTGGGGGGTGCAGAGCTGGGGAGGTCAGCGTGGGGTGAGCGAGGGGGGTCCATGCCCCAAGCGCCCTCATTCTGTGGCCGAGGGCAGGAGGGAGGCCATCTCAGAGGGGCTGGGGCTGGGGCTGGGGCGTGGAGGGGAGCCAGGTGTCCTGTGAGCAGCTGGTGTCGGAATCCTCCCCTCTGGGAGCCCGGGAGCCCGCCCCGTGCCCACAGCCCGTTTGGAACACCCCGCACAGCAGAAGGAAGACGGGATGGTATTTTTACCGTAACTGGACAGCTCCAAAGACTCCTCTATTAAGAAACCACCGAGTCTGATTCTGTTCAAAGTCAGCCTCTGGGGTCTACACAGAGGACATTTTCAATGTCTTCAAAGTCCCCAGAAGCCCCTTTTCACAGGCAGACGGCAGCAGCTATACTTGGGGAGGCGGATCCAGGCCCCACGTGTCTGGGATTCAAGCCTGCTGTTCTCTTTCTAAATGGCTGCCAACAAGTCTGTGTCGCTGGCTAACTCTGCTGCTGGCAGGGACCCCTTCCCTCCTCCTCTGGCCCTCTGCGCCCCCACGAGCGGACCACGCAGTGCAGGGGGCTCTCCTGACCCCAGCTCTTCCAGTCTGGGCAGGCTGCCACTCTGCGTCAGACACCCCGACGTGAGCGGAGCCTCCGGCTGGGGAACTGGTTCTGCCGAGGAGGCTGCGGCTTCCAGGCTTGAGGCAGGGGAGCAGCACCCCGGGGCGTGGTGACCTGGGAAACAGGCTCAGCCCTGGCACAGGTTCCCAGCTGCTGGGAGGCCTGCTGGTTGGCATTCCAGGCCGTGCCCGGAGAAGGGCATGGAGGGCCCTGTGCCCTTGTCTGCCCTCGCCCCCAGCCTCCTCCTCGAGGACCAAGCTGGGCGTCCTTCCCTCGAGCTAGCCTGACTGGGCGAAGGCAGCACCCAGAGCTGTCGGAGCCCGCGGTGCGGAGCTGGCTGGCCCTGTGCTCACGCTGGCTTGTCTCCTTCGCAGTCCATGTCGTGGAGGGCGTGGTGAAGGAGGTGGTGGAGCACGCCAAGGAGGCTGGAGAGAAAGGTACGGGGGGGGGGGGGTGTGCTGAGACAGCTGGTTCTGTGACTTACCAGGCCCACCCCTGACCCAGTTGTCGCACCTTCAGATGACATGCAATTATCTCACTATCTGAGGCCACGGGGCAGACTGTCCGGCCAGACAGGCCTCTGCAGAGCACTAAAAGCCTGTCACAAAACACTGGCGGCGCGCTGGGACGCAACCCTGAAGACTGACGCTGCGCACTCACATCCACACACACCTCCCCGAGTGTGCGTGCTGTGGGCATGGCCATGTGGAAGGGCACCTCGCTCCTGACGCAGAGCAGCCTGCAGACGAACCAAGGACTTCCGGACAGTACATGACGTTATCAGCCCATTTCAGGAGCGACAGGAGATGACAGTGTAATCGCAGCCTGGGAGGCCTCTTGACTATGACAGAACCCCTGACCACGAAGGAGAGGCTGGGGAAACCTGACAGTGTGATAGCTCAAAGTTTCCACAGTAAAAGGTGGTATGCCAAGCCGAAAGCAGAACACAGACTGAGGGGACACCTGCAGTGGCAATGACCACCCAGTAGCTACTGGTCAGCAGGGGTGGCAGGCAGGTCCCGGGAAAATGCACGAGTGGGCAGGACCGCCACGGGCCGGTCCTCAGCCCCACTCGCCACTGAAGAAGGTACACGCGAGTCGTTTGGGAAATAAAACCAGATCTGAAGGCAGCCTTAGGAGCTCAGGCCCCACCCCCGGGACCCCCCCACCGGCACAACCAGAAGATGCCACATCCCTCAGGCCCCCACCCCCAGGCTCCCCCAGGCACGACCAGAAGATGCCACATCCCTCAGGCCCCCACCCCCAGGCTCCCCCCGGCACAACCAGAAGATGCCACATCCCTCAGGCCCCCACCCCCGGGCTCCCCCAGGCACGACCAGAAGATGCCACATCCCTCAGGCCCCCACCCCCGGGCTCCCCCAGGCACGACCAGAAGATGCCACATCCCTCAGGCCCCCACCCCCGGGTTCCCCCAGGCACGACCAGAAGATGCCACATCCCTCAGGCCCCCACCCCCGGGCTCCCCCAGGCAGGACCAGAAGATGCCACATCCCTCAGGCCCCCACCCCCGGGCTCCCCCAGGCAGGACCAGAAGATGCCACATCCCTCAGGCCCCCACCCCCGGGCTCCCCCAGGCACGACCAGAAGATGCCACATCCCTCAGGCCCACACCCCCAGTCTCCCCCAGGCACGACCAGAAGATGCCACATCCCTCAGGCCCCCACCCCCGGGCTCCCCCAGGCACGACCAGAAGATGCCACATCCCTCAGGCCCCTCCAGGTGACACCAGCTCAGCAAGGGGCTTCAAGTGTTTACTTTGCTCACCCAGACATCATTCTCTCCCCCTGACAGCCATCTCAGAAGCCTTCAAGAAGGCCCAGGAGAAAGGAGACAAAGTCGTAAAGGAAGTCACCGAGACGGTGACCAACACGGTCACAAGTGCGGTCACCCACGCGGCGGAAGGCCTGGGTAGACTGGGACAGTGAGCCTGTGGCCGCCGGGAGGCTCTTCCTGAATCTCAATAAAAAGCTGTGAATCGTGTGCGCTGTGGCCTGGGCTTGCTCTGTTCGGGTGGAAGCGGAGTCCTGTCCCTGACGACCCCCCGACACCGTGGGGGTTGCTAGGCCCCGATGAGCAGGAGGTGCTGCTTTCACACAAAGATTTCTCATCTCAGCAGGGACCCCGTAAGGATTGCTAGTGTCTGGGCTACATTTCTTAGAAGATTGTTTCCCCAGAAACTGTGTAGCTCTCCGACACTCCGTGCTCAGGGCACCCCACGGGAGGGCCGTAAGTCAGCCTGCACAGCCTTCCGTTTTCCTTGAACTGTTCCTCGGGGGTCGGGAAGATCCCCCGGGTCCAGGGTTAGCTGGACAGGCCCCGATGGCCTGAGATGCTTCGCGCTCTTACTGGCTGTCGGGGCTGCTGCCGGCTCTCCCCTCCCACGGGCGTGTCAGGCCTAAGGGGGGTGGTGGGCAGAATACGTCTCTCCTTCTGTCCACGAGTGAGTCAGGACCATGAAGGGTAAATGTACATTTAAGCAGCATTTAGCTTAACATTGGTTTTGTGTTGTTTTGTTTAGATTCTTCCTCGAGGACATGTTTGCATTGATCTTCATGTAGAGCGGGAGGGGGAGAGAGAGAGAGAGAGAAACATCGATGTGAGAGAGACACATCGAGTGGCTGCCACCCACACGACCCAACTGGGCCGGGGACAAACTGCAACCGAGGTACGTCCCTTGTTGGGAACCGAACCCGGGTCTCTCTGGACTGCAGGCCGACGCTCTAACCGCTGAGCCAAACCGGCCAGGACAACACTGGGTTTTTATAAAGGAAATGATTTGTCAAGATATGGCCTTGCTTATTTACCTTGCTGAAAGTAAGTTGTTCTTAGAGGAAATTAGAAGAAAAGGTGTTTTAAAGAACAAGTTAGGCCCTGGTCAGTCTGGCTCAGCAGTTAGAGCGTCGGCCTGCAGACCAGAGAGAGCTGGGTGCGGTTCCCACTAAGGGCATGTACCGTGGTTGCAGTTTGTCCCCGGTCCTGATTAGGGTCTTGTAGGTGGCAACCACTCAATGTGTCTCTCCCACGTCGATGTTTCTCTCTCCCCGACCCCCCGCTCTATCTGAAGATAAATGCAAAAATGTCCTCAAATGAGGATTAAAATAAATAAATAAAAATAATAAAATAAAGAACAAGTTAGTTGCCCTGGCTGGTTTGGCTCAGCGGTTAGAGCATTGGCCTGCAGACCAAAGAGTCGTGGGTTCGATTCTAGTCAAGGGCACCTGCCTCGGTTGTAGTTCATCCCCGGCCCTGGTTGGGCCATGCGGGAGGCAACCAGTCGATGTGTCCTTCTCACATCGATGTTTCTCTCTCCCTCCCTCCCACTCTGTCCGGTGATAAATAGAAAAATGTCCTCAGGTGAGGATTAAAACAACAACAACAAGTCCGTTGCTCACCGTATTTCTGGCTTTGGACTCGGCTGCACACGTCTCTGAAGCCCAGGTGTCTAACGTCCTGGCTTCACCCCTTCTGCCCGGCTTTATCTGCACTTAGTGTCGGTTTGATTTCTGAAGACTTTCGAAGTCCCCCAACCCAAAGCTCCTCTCGAGAGGATGAGAGCATTGTGGCGGCCGTGCAGACCGATCCCCTCTTCTTAGCAGGCTTTTCTCTCCAGGCGAGCACAGGGACATGCAGCGTCCCAAGGGCAGCACGGGTTCATCGAGACATGTCTGTAGCAGCAAGAGAAAGGAAACACCCTAAAATGCTCATCATAAGTCACTTGGGTGGCAAGTTGGAGATACAATGTAGAGAGGACGTCGCCACTCCTCGGGTATTGCAGTGTCAGCTGAGAAAGCGCGACCTGTGTCTAGGTGGCCACCAATCTGCTTGTGTGTGAAACAGAACACCATGGCTGTCAAGGATGAAGAAATGTACATATATGGGAACAAGCCAAATAACAAGATATGAAGCACATACATAGAGTAAGTTCATTTTTCCAAAGCAAAGCAAACACATGATTGTATAAAGATTTTAAAGATCTAGTACCATACATATAGCAAACATGAACAGTGCTCAGCTCTGTGTGCCGGTGAGAATATGAGGAATCTTCATTTTCTACATTCCATTGTTCCATGATGCTGGAACTTAAGAGAAAACCAGTATAGAACAAATATATATTTGTTAATCCTCACTCGAGGATGTTTTTCCATTTATCTTTTTAGATAGACTGGGAGGGAGGGAGAGAGAGAAAGAGAAAGAAAGATCGATGTGAGAGAGACACATCGATTGGTTGCCTCCTGCACAACCTGGACCAGGGCTAGGGATTGAACCTGCAACCCAGGTACATGCCCTTCACCAGGAATCAAACCTGCAACCCTTGGGTCCAAGGGCTGACGCTCTAACCACTGAGCAAAACCAGCCAGGGCCATACAGACATATTTTATTTTTATTTTTTTAAAATTAATTAATTAAATTTTTTATCCTCACCTGAGGACATTTTTCTATTCTTTGCTCAGATAGAGTGGGAGGGAGAGAGAGGAACAGAGAGAGAGAGAGAAACATCGATGTGAAGGGACACATCGAGTGGCTGCCACCCGCACGACCGACCAGGGCCGGGGACAAACTGCAACTGAGGTACATGCCCCTAGCAGGAACCGAACCCGGGTCTCTCAGGACCGCAGGCCGACGCTCTAACCGCTGAGCCAAACCGGCCAGGGCCAGATATATTTTATAACATGGTCCTGTAGGGTACCTACTAACATATTCAAGGTTGTTTCCTACTTAAGTGATGCTCAAAGCTTGCTGGTTTGCAAACTTTGTTACAGTTGGCAACAAGGTAAGTCAAGAAACTTACTTTGTTGCATGTAAATACACCTAGACACTGTCTGGACCTGGAGGAGTGTGATCAGTTGACCATTCTTCTTCAACAGGGTATAGGGCAGCTCAGGTTGTTGAACTTGTGTGGCAAGTTGTACGTGAACTAGTAACAAGAAGTAGGACCAGCCCTGGCCGGTTTGGCTCAGCGGTTGGAGTGTTGGCCTGCGGTCCAGAGAGACTTGGGTTGGGTTCCCGCTAAGGGCACGTACCTCTGTTGCGGTTTGTCCCCCTCCCTGGTTGGGTCGTGGGGGTGGCGACCACTCAATGTCTCCCTTTCACGTCAATGGTCAATGTTTCTCTGTCTTTCTTCCTCTCTCTCCCTCCCACTCTATCTGCATAAAAAACGAAAGAATGTCCTCGGGTGAGGATGGAAAAAAAAAAGATGTAGGATGACATACATGATGAATTAGATTAAGAAACGAAAAAACAAAACTGTGCCTTCCCCCACGGAGTTGGAGAAGCAGTATCCACGTTCCCTTGCTGTGTGCTATTCTGGACTAAGGACTTCGTCTCTCATTTTCTCTCGACTGCATGTGTTGTGCAATGAGGGGCATGAGATCAAACTCAGAGAAATTCTAAATGCGTTATAAAAAGCAAGAGAGCCCTGGCTGGTTTGGCTCTGCAGTTAGAATGTCCACCAACAGACCGAGGAGTTGTGGGTTCAATTCCAGTCAAGGGCACACACCTCAGTGGCTGTTTGTCCCCAGGCCTGGTCGGGTCGTTGGGGAGGCGACCAGTTAGTGTGTCTTTCTTGCATTGCTGTTTTTTTTTCTCTCTCCCACTCACACTTTATCTGATGATAAATGGAAAAATATCCTCGGGTGAGGATTTAAAAAAACAACAATAGAGCCCTGGCTGGTTTGGCTCAGTGGTTAAAATGTCCACCTGCAGACTGAGGAGTCTCGGGTTCAATTTCGGTCAAGGGCACGTACCTCAGTTGCAGTTTGGTCCCTGGCCCTGGTCAGGGTCATAGAGGAGGCACCTAATCAATGTGTCTCTCTTGCATCAATGTTTCTCTCTCTCTGCCTCCCTCCCTCCCACTCTATCTGAAGATAGATGGAACAATGTCCTTGGGTGAGGGTTAAAAAAAAAGCAATAGAAAGTGCCTGGCTGGTGTGGCTCAGTGGATTGAGTGTCATCCCGTGGACTGACAGTTCCTGGTTTGGTTCCCAGTATGGGGAACATGCCCAGTTTGTGGGTCAGTCCCCAGCGGGGGTGTGCAGGAGGCAGCCTATGGATGTTACACCCTAGCATCCATGTTTCTATCTCTCTTTCCCTTCCTCTCTCTCTAAAAACAAATCAATAAAAATATATTAAAAAGCAATAGAAAGTGATGCCAGAGAACATGGTGGAGCAAAGACCTCCAAAAATCCTCTCCTCCGTAAAAGTAATGAGAAAACTGGTAAGCAAGACAGCGGTGTAGGTAAACGCGGTATTGCGTCCTCCCACAACCACATCAAAGTTACAACTAAACTACAGAACAACCATCATTCAAAACCGCCTGAAATCAAGCTGAATGGAAGTCCTACAAATACGGAATTAAAGCAGCAGCCACATCCAGACTGGTAGGAGGGCGGAGGGGACGGGCTGGTCCCACACCCACGTGTGGCGGATAAAAATCAGGAGGAGACCTCAGCTGGGAAGGTCCTTCCTGGGGACTGAGGGGTCCCCGTCCCACACCAGGCGCCCCAATCAGGGTCCCAGTGCCAGGAAGAGAGTCCCCATAACTTATGGCTGTAAAACCAGCGGGAACTGAGGCTCAGGGAGGCTGAAGTGGCTAGAGCCCCAGGCAGCTCCTTAAAGGACCCGCGCACGGACTTATCGGACTCTCTCCCTCTAAGCTCGGAGGGGAGGCAGCTCGAGGGGCGCCAGAGACATACAGGGAAGAACTGAGCTGTTTGGCACTGGAGCGAGGGCTGGAGAGGGGGCTTTCTCGGGGACAAACGTGTTGTCAGAGGCCTTTGTTCCTTTGGTGAGCCCTTCCCTGGGGCGGCAGACAGTCGCCATATCTGGGACTCCAGCAACCTGGCTCACCCTGGTAGCCCCGCCCTGGTGACTCCATGAGGCCCCGCCCCACCCCACCCAACTTTCAGGCCCACCCCAGCTGTTGCCACTTGCTTAACCACAGGATTGGCCTATCTTGGATCCTGCTTCAGGTTTTTCCTAAA